AGGATTGGAGGAAGAATCATTAACAACTTGAGATACACTGATGATACAATTTGCTTGCTGAAAGTGAGGATGACTTGAGGCACTTACTGATGAAGATTGAGGAACAGTCTGCAGTATGGATTACATCTGAATATAAAGAAGACAAAAATCCTCACAACTGGACCAATAAGCAGCATCATGATAAATGGAGAAAAGATTGAGGTTGTCAAAGAATTCATGTTGTTTGATTCTACAGTCGCCACCAATGGAAGCAGCAGTCAGGACATTAGATGATGTGTAGCACTGGGCAGGTTGGCTGCGAAGGAACTCTTTCAAATTTTGAGGAGAAAAGATGTCTCCTTGAGGACTAAGGTGCATCTGACATAAGCCATATTTCCTGTTGCTTCGTAGGCATGTGAGAGCTGGACAATGAATAAGGAAGACTGAAGAAGAGTTGATGCTTTTGAGTTGTGGTTCTGGCAAAGAATGCTGAAAGTACTATGGATTGCTAAAAGAACTAACAGATCTATCCTAGAGGAAGTGCAGCCGAGATGCTCCTTGGAAGCGAGAATGGCCAGACTTTGTCTCACTTACTTTGGTCATGTTGTCAGAGGGAACTATTCCCTGGAGAAGGATGTCATGCTTGGTAAGGTGGTGGGTTGACAAAAGAGGGGAAGGCCTTCGATGAGATTGGTTGACACGGTGGCTGTGACAATGGGCTCAAGTATAGCAAGGATCATGGAGCTGGTGCAGGATCAGGCGGTGGTTCATTCTGCTGGGCATGGGGTCGCTGTGAGTCGGAAATGCCTCAACGGCACCTAACAACAACATAGTAGTTCTGTTTTTAATTTTTTGAGGAATTGCCATACTGTTTTCCACAACAGCTGTATCATTTTGCATTCCCACAAATAGTGCATCAGAATTCCAATTTCCCCAAAAAAGTCTTTCTCTTAGCTATCCTAGTTGGGTTGAAGTAGTATCTCATTGTGGTTTTGATTTACATCTCTGATGGCTAAAGACAATGTACATCTATCTTCACATGTTAAATGTTGTTGTAGTAGTTGTTAGGTGATGTTGAGTAGGCTCTGACTCATTGTGACCCAATGTACAACAGAACAAAACACTGTTTAGTCCTGTGTCATTTTCACAATATTTGCTATGCTTGAGCCCATTGTTGCAAAGAGTGTGTCAATCCATCTTGTTGAGGGTCGCTGACCATCCACTTTACTAATCATGATATCCTTCTCTAGGGACTGATCCATTCTGATAGTATGACCAAAGTACATGAGACAAAATCTAGCCAATCTTGCTTCTGTGGAGAACTCTGGCTGTACTTCTTCTAAGACAGACTTGCTTGTTTTTTGGCAGTCCATGGTAGATTCAATATTTTTCACCAACACCACAATTGAAATACATAAGTTCTTCATTGGTCTTCCTTATTCATTGCCCAACTGTCACATGCATACGAAGCCATTGAAAATACAGTGGCTTGGATCAGGCGCACCTTAGTCTTCAAGGTGACATCTTTGCTCTTTAACACTTTAAGGAAGTCTTTTGTAGTAGATTTGTTCAGTGCAGTATGTTGTCTAATTTCTTGAGCTCTGTTTTTGTGGTGTTGATTATGGATCCAAGTAAAATGAAATCCCTCTAAACTTCAGTCTTTTATCAATTTATTGTGATGCTGCTTATTGATCAGCTGCAAGGATTTTTTTTTTTTTTTTTTAATGTTGAGGTACAATCCATGTTGAAGGCTGTAGTTCCTGATCTTTATCAGTAAGTAGTTTAAGTAATCTTCACTTTCAGGAAGCAAGGTTGTGTCATGTGCTTATCTCAAGTTGGTAATGAGTCTTCCTGCAGTCCCGATACCACATTCTTCATACAGTTCAGGCTCTTGGATTATTTTCTCAGCATACAGATTAAATAAATACGGTGAAAGGATACAACCCTGAAGCACAACTTTCCTGGTTTTAAACCATTCAACATCCCCTTGTACTGTTAAACTGACTGCCTCTTGGTCTTTGTACAGGTTTCTCATGAGCACAGTGAAGAGTTCTGGAATTCCCATTCTTTAGGTGTTATCTATAAGATCCACATAGTCAAATTCATTTGCATAGTCAATAAAACAGATAAACGTCTTTCTGATATTCTTTCAGCCAAGAGTCATCTGATATCAGCAGTGATAACCCTTATTCCACCTCCTCTTCTGAATCCAGCTTGAATTTCTGGCAGTTCCCTGTCAATATAATGCTGCAGCCTTTTTTTGAATTATCATCAGCAGAATTTTATTTGCACGTTGATATTGATACCCTTTGATGGTTTCCACATTCTGTTGGATCACCTTTCTTTGAAATGGGTATAAATATGGATCACTTCCAGTTGGTTGGCCAGGTAGCTATCTTCCGGATTTCTTGTATGAAACGGATGAGTGCCTCCAGCGCTATATCCATTTGCTGAAACATCTCAACTTCCTAGAACCTTGTTTTCTTTTCTGTCAATTCCTTGAGGGCAGCTTGGACATCGTCCTTTAATACCTTTAGTTTTAGGTCATATGCTACCTCCTGAAAGGTTGAACATCAACCAGTTCTTTTGGGTGCAGTGACTCTGTGTATTCCTTTCATCTTCTTTTGATGTTTCCTGCATCGTTCAGTACTTTGCCCATAGAACCCTTCAGTATTGCAGCTTGAGGCTTAAATTATTTTTCTTCAGTTCTTTAAGCTTCAGATATGCTGAGTGTATTCTTTCCTTTTGGGTTTCTAATTCTAAGTCTTTGCACGTGTTGTTATACTTTACTTTGTCTTTTTGAGCCGTCCTTTGAAATCTTCTGTTCAGCTCTTTTATTTCATCATTTCTTCCATTTGCTTTAGCTACTCTCCATTCAAGAGCAAGTTTCAGAGTTTTTTCTGACATCTGTTTTGGTCTTTTCTTCTTTTCCTTTTTTTTTTTTAAATGATCTTTTACTTTATGATATTCTTAATGTAATCCCACAACTCATCAGGTCTTTGGCCATTGGTGTTCAGTGCATCAAATCTATTTTTCTGATAGTCTTTAAATTCAGGGGGGATGTAATCAAGGCCATATTTTGGCTCCTGTGGACTTGTTTTAATATTCAGCTTCAGCTTGAACTTGCATATGAACAAATGATGGTCTGTTTTACAGTCAGCCCCTGGCCTTGTTTTGTGTGATGATATGGAGCTTCTCGATTACCTCTTTCCACAGACTTAGTTGATTTGATTGCTGTGTATTCCATCTGGCTAGGTTCATGTGGATAGTCGCCATTTATGTTATTGAAAAAAGGTATTTGTAGCGAGTAACTCAGTCTTGCAAAGTTCTGTCAGGCAGTCTCTGACATAATTTCTGTCATCAAGGTCACATTTTCCAACTGCTGATACTGCTTCTTTGTTTACAACTTTTAGATTCCAATCACCAGTAATTATAAGTACATCTTGATTGCATGCTTGGTCAATTTCAGACTACAGAAATTGGTAAAAACCTTCAGTTCCTTCATCTTTGGTTTTAATGGTTGATGCATAAATTTGAATAATTATAGTATTAACTCATCTTCCTTTTAGGCATATGGATATTATCCTATCAAAAACAGCATTGTACTTCAGGGTAGATCTTAAAATATTCTTTTTAATGATGAATTGCAATGCCATTCTTCTTCAATTTGTCATTCCTGGCATCTTAGACCATATGATTGTCTTATTCAAAATGGTCAATACCAGTCCATTTTAGCTCACTAATGCCTAGATTATTGATGTTTATATGTTCCATTTCATTATTAACAGCTTCCAATTTCCCTAGATTCATATTTCATACATTTCACATTCTGATTATTAATGGATATTTGCAGCTGTTTCTTTTCATTTTTAGTCATGCCACATCAGCAAATGAAGATCCAGAAAGCTTTACTCCATCCATGTCATTAAGGTTTACTCTGATTTGAGGAGGCAGCTCTTTCCCAGTCGTATTTTGAGTGTCTTCCAACCTGAGGGGCTCATCTTCTGGCACTATATCAGGCAGTGTTTCACTGCTATTCATAATGTTTTCCAATAATATATCAGACAGTGTTTAGTACTATTCATAAAGTGGTCAGTTTTTTTCAGAAGTAGATGGCCTAATCTTCTCCCTAGTCTGTCTTAGTCTGGAAGCTCTGCTGAAACCTGTCCATCATGGCTGACCCTGCTGGTATTTTTAATACTGGTGGCATAGCTTCCAGCATTACAGCAACATGCAAGTCACCACCAAACTGACAGACAAGTGGTGGTCACATGGTGGGAAAAAAACTTCCAGAGAGGAAAAAAATAGATCACATAAAAAGGAATGTGTAATATGTGACTTTTTTTTTTTTTTTTCCCTTCTCTCTCTGGAAGTTTTTTGGGATCTTTTCTTTACTCTCGGGCTTTGAAATTTCACTGATGTCCTTGGGTGAAGGTGTTTTTTCCATGCCTTTCACAGATTTTGTTTTGCTGTTTTGGCTTGAGAAACTTCTGTCATTCAGTTTCAGAAAAGAAAGTATTAATTCATAATTTTATAATTCCTTTGCCTGTATCTTTGTCAGTTTTCACTTCTAGAACCCTTGATTGTTGACCTTTTGGGGTAAGCTCATGATTTTATTAGTTTCTTAATCTGTATTTTGTTCTTTTGTCTTTCTTTTACTTTGTGGATTTATACATTTTTTAAAAAATATTGATGTGGTCATGGTAGTTAGGAGAGTATAGAAATAAAATTAGATTATCTGTTATGTTTAGGGGAGCTCTGGTGGTGTAGTGCCTAAGGCACTTAACTGCTAACTAGAAGGCTGGCGGTTCAAACCCACCAACCACTCCTTGGAAGGAAGACTGGACAATCTACTTCCGTAGTGATAATGCCTTGAAAAGCCAAGGACGGGTCACTTTGAGTCGGATCTGACTTGACAGCAGTGCGTTCGTTTGTTCGTTTATTATGTTTAACTGAATTAAAAATTTAGGATTGAATTTAAAGTTGCATTTCTTGCTAAACTTAAGTTTTTATTTTGACAGAGATGTTATGAACATAAGCAGTATAGAAATGGACTGAAGTTCTGTAAACAAATCCTGTCTAACCCCAAATTTGCAGAGCATGGAGGTAAGGATAAATACCTTATACTTGCGAAGTGTAAGTAGTTGATGCTTTACTTTTTTGTTTGCCTTCTCATATTTGGATTGTATTATTTCCAGCTGCTTTAACTATTTTCCACAGAGAGTAAGATCTCTTACCTTCATATCTCTTATTATGACAAGATGAAACTGAATTTGAAGGCTGTTATTTTGAATGCAATGCTGAGGAGATGAAAACACATTCTAGTTTTTCTGGGTATTTTCTTATTTTGAATGTTAGCTCTGTGAAAAAGGCAGAAGAACCAAACTCACTGTTACCGAGTCAATTCTGGCTCATAACGTCCCTTTTTGGGTTTCCGAGGTGGTAAGTCTTTACAGAGGTAGATTGTTCCATCTTCCTTCCACGGAATGGCTGGTGGGGTTGAACTGCCAGTCTTCTGGGTTGCAGTCACATGCCTTATGCACAGCACAATATACTTAAGTAAAATTCTGTTAAAAAAAAATTTCCTTTCGAACTTAGGTTTTAGTTTATTGAGAGAGTGTCTTATTTTGTCCCTTGCTCATGATCCAGCTTCACTTTATTTAGTATTGTATCTCAATTAGTATTTCAAGATCAAGTCATCTTTAAGACACAGTTTGTATATTGACATGTTGTGGAAGTTTATTTGCTTTTACCTATGTGAGAGCAGAAAATTGGATGGTGAGATGTTTATAGAGCAAGGGGAGAGTGTGTGACTAAATTTGTAAGGAGACAAAGGTAAAAACAAGTTTTCACAGATCTGATTTTACATAGTCAGGAAATATGCTTTGGAAATTAATTTGAAATGTGAAAAGTATCTAAATTTTTCTCTCCTTTTATCTTTTTATTTTACTTATTTTTTTCCTTTTATTTGTTTTAAAGAAATACTTCTTTTAGCTGGCAAGCTAGGTGTTAGGTTGTTTTTAATTCATTTCTAGCGTATGGATGCTGATAATGTGACTTCTAGTAATGTAATCATAATAAAGTTTTAGTACAAAAAAGTACCAGATTTCATTGATTTTAAAATACAGTTTTCCACTTATTTTAACAGATCTGAAATCAGGTTGCATATGAGGTATCATAATGTAATCGACAGTATTTTTTTAATGGTATTTGAAAACATAGTATGTCTTACACTTGTTGTAATGCCAGTCCTAGATTTGATAATATATTGCACTTCACAATATGTGGTATAATTTATTAAAATAGATTTTACCTGTTTGACAACAAAGAGTTACTTTTTAAGGTACCTTGTTAGTGTGGCTCCTTGCCAGATATATTTTGTTTGTTAGAATTTTATTTGCTTCCTTTTCGTTCACACCTGATTTCCCTCTTTTGCTTCCATTTCTTTACCTTCATTTTTCTAAACATGTTAACTCTTCCACAGTATCAGACCTTTGATCCTTATCTTTTATTCCTAATATTCCTAATTACTTTCCAATGAATTCTAAATTTTTGGTCTTAAATGTTAGGCAAATATAATTATTAACAAAATTGTTCTATTACGTATCATGACATGCACACTATGACATTAGAAATCTTTTTTATCTCAGGACTTAATGTCTCCCTCAAGTTTCTCTTTTAATCTGTTGATTGCAAATGATAGGTCTCTGATGTCTTTTTAAATTTACATATTTAATAATGTTTAATAACTCAGTCATTTTAAAATAAATTTATGAAAATAATGAATATGAGTAATTTCTGTGTGTTTTAATCCTTGAACAGTGAATTTAATTTTCGCATAATTTGGGTTCACAGAAAGAGTCTCTTTTCAAGGTCGAAATTCATCATACTTTAAAGGAGTGTCAATGTAAAGTGCTCCCAGGGCATTCCCTTGAAGAACAGTTTTAGAATTGTTGTATCTTGTCAGCATATGTGTTACTAAATGTATCTTTCTCATTAGAAGTACATACATTTTTTGGTGTCATTTTCTCTAATAAAATCTAAGAAGGCCTAGTTCTAAGAAGGGAGTACAGAAATACTTATTTATTTGGTTTGTCAGTTTGTTTAATGTTTTAATTCTGTTGACACCTGGGAGATTGCCTAGTAATCTCTTGAAGTTCTTAATTCTTAGCCTAAAGTAACTTTTTTTTTCTTTTTTAAAATAGAAACTCTGGCTATGAAAGGATTAACACTGAACTGTTTGGGGAAAAAGGAAGAAGCTTATGAATTGGTTCGAAGAGGTTTAAGAAATGACTTGAAGAGTCATGTGTGTATCCTTTTTGAGATATTTGTAAGGATTGTGTGAGAGTATCTTGAGGTAAGGAAGGAATTTGGGAGTCAGAACTTTTAGAGGAAATTATTCTTTCTTAAAGTGAATAACAAGAACCACCTTTAATTCAGGGAACATTTGTTGTCTACCTGCCATTTTCTAGTATTATCTCTTTATCTCACAAATAAATGGGATTTGTCTTAAAAAATAATCTATGGAAGCTCTTCCCACTCTTAAAAAAGAAGCATCATGTAGATTTTTATCATTATTATAAATTTAGAGAGTAAGTAGAAAAGTCTGAGGGAAAGTAATAGAAAAAAAGTGCAGTTTCCTAGTAATTAAACTGTCTTTTAACAAATATTTCTGTATCTAGTTTGTGTGCTAACACAGTTTTCAGTGCTGAAATATTCAGCAAGTTTTCAAGTGTTTACCAGGCCTGTTGGCACAGTACAGATGAAGGAATGGTATGATATGATTTTAAGTTGTATTGAGGGGAGATTTATTTATTGAAAACATATACAGAACACCTTGAAAATGTTATGACATATTCAAAAAATTGTCACCAGTATGGTAAAACAGAATTACGTGAATTGGGAGTGGTTAATAGCATGGAAGGGTAAGCCAGGGCAATTAATGATACTGTTTTGAATATCTTTCCATCATTTAAAATGATCATACAGTGTTCTACTGTTATTACTATGATTTATTTAATCAAATCCTTTGTTTTAAATTTTTAGCATTGTTTAATTCCTGGAGCACAGATTTTTAGAAGGTGAAATTAAAGGCATTTAGTTATAAGATTGTTGAAATGCTTGAGAAAAGTGATCAAGTCCTGGAATATAGGGTATTAGTGATAGAAATGGGGAGAAATGGGAAGATAGATAATAGAGGGCTAGATTATGAAGGGTAGTGGTTCTTAGACTTTGAAAATTCATGTTCCAACCAACTCAGAAGACTTGCCAAGTTTTAACTTACCATTTATATTATAAAATCAAAGATTATTTTCTAAATGAAGGTATAATTTTAAGTATATATTTTCAGGTACATATTATTCTAGACATTTTACTTTTAACCAAGTGTTGAGGATGGCTGATAGTAAAACATTTTAGAAAGGGAGGTTAATTGACCTTTTCTTTTTTGATTATGTGTTTAGAAAGATTGCTTGGCAGGATTGAATAAAAGAAAGAAAGACTGAAAATAGGATGATTGAGTGACTGTTGGAGTAATCCAGGTCTAAAGTGAAAGAACCTCTATTGTTGTTTAGCACTGTCAAGTCGACTCCGATTCATAGAGGCCCTGTGTACAACAGAATGAAACACTGCCCAGTCCTGTGCCATTCTCACGATCCTTGCTATAGTTGAGCCCATTGTTGTTGCCACTCTGTCAGTCTATCTCATTGGGGGTATTCCTCTTTTTTGCTGACTCTCCACTTTACCAAGCATACTATCCTTCTCCAGGGAATGGTCCCTTCTGACAACCTGGCCAAAGTTGGTGAGATGTCTTGCTTCCTAGAGCATTCCGAATACACTTCTTCCAGGACAGATTTGTTAGTTCTTCTGGCAGTCCATGGTACTTTCAGTAAGTATCCTTTTCCAGCACAGCTCAGAAGCATCAACTCATCTTCGGTCTTCCTTATTCATTGTCCAGCTTTCTCATGCATATGAGGCTACTGAAAATACCATGGCTTGGGTTACATGCACCTTAGTCTTCAAAGAGACATTTTTGCTCTTCACCACTTTAAAGAGATCCTTTTCAGTACATTTGACCATCTGATTTCTTGACTGCTGTTTACATGGCTGTTGATTGGAAATCCAAGTAAAATGAAATCACTGACAACTTCAGTCTTTTCTCTATTTATTGTGATGCTGCTTATTGGTCCAGTTGAGAAGATTTTTGTTTTCTTTATTTTGAGGTATAATACATATTGTAGATTGCTAGTCTTTAATTTTCATCAGTAAATGTTTCAAGTCATCTTCACTTTAAGCAACGAAGGTTGTGTTGTCTGCATATCACAGTTTGTTAATGATTTGGAAGAAGGAAGGGGCCAGCCAGTTCTCAAAGAATTGACCAGTGAAAACCTTACGAATAGCAGTGAAACACTGTCTGACATATTAAAAAAAAAAAAACACCAAACTCACAGCCATTAATTTGGATCCAACTCATAGCAACCCCTCCTTGGGTTTCTGAGGCAATATCTATACGGAAGTAGATTGCCCAGTCTTGCCTCTGAGGAGTAGCTGGTGGGTTTGAACCACCATCCTTATGGTTAGCAGTCAAATGCCTTAGGGACTATGCCACCAGAGGTCCTATACTGGACTTGTATTAGAACAGTGGAATTACTTGCATATTTTCCCCTTTATAGCATTTAAAAAAAAAAAAATACAGTATCTTGCTTACTTACATGTGCACCTTATTAGACTTCGACTTTTTTTTTTTTTTTCCCAAAGACTTTAACATCTTAGAAGTAGGAGACTCCCTATTTCGGTCACCTACAGCCTAATTAAGAATTCTTAATAATATTACTTGTTAAGTACATGAATATTTTTATTTTGTATATCATTAATTTTCAGGAATTTTGTACCACAGTAAGGGCTGTTCTAGGAGCTATGGTGGTGTAGTGCCTAAGGCATTTGACTGCTAACCAGAAGGCTGGCGGTTCAGACCCAACCAGCTACTCCTCGGAAGACTGGGCAATCTACTTCCATAGGTATATTGCCTTGGAAACCCAAGAAGGGTTTACTGTAAGTTGGAAACGACTCCATGGCAGTGAGTTTTAGTAAGGGCTGTTTTAAGGATCTTATTAGTTAAAATTCACACTGATTTTATGTAATTATATGTCATAGAGTTCTATTTCCTTTTCTTATAATAATGAAGATAATTCCTAACGCTCATTGGGCCTTTACTTTGTGCTGGCCATTGAGCACTTTATATATGCTATCCCATTTAGTCCTCACTACTATGCTATGCTATATAGATATGATTTCTGTTTCCATTTTATAAATGAGAAAACTTGTTCAAGGTCAATTTACCCAGGCTCCAAAACTTGTGCTCTCTTCACCTGTACTAAACTGCCTTCCATCTTTACGTATATTCCTTTTTTTAAAAAAAAATAACTCATATTGTTATAAATAGCTGTAGTTCTCAGAGTTTCCTGGGAGATCATTTGGAATATTAGTTTTTGACTCGTAAGTTATATCCTTAACTAAATCTTTTAGGTTGGCATGTTTATGGCCTTCTCCAAAGATCAGATAAGAAGTATGATGAAGCCATTAAGTGTTACAGAAATGCGCTAAAATGGGATAAAGACAATCTTCAAATCTTAAGGGACCTTTCTTTACTACAGATTCAGATGCGAGATCTTGAGGGTTACAGGGTAAGTAAAATAGAGAACTTTTTGTTTCTAAGGGGAAAATATCATAAAACTTAGAACGTTTTGAGTACCTCATGATAAAATAAATTTTGTGTTTTTTAAAAAAATGTAATTGAATGTCCCCCCACCATAGTGATTCTGTTTATGATGAGAATTGTTGAGATTTTAAAAATAAATTATTTTACTGTGTGAGGGAAATTGTTTTACTATGTGAGGGAAATTATTTTACTATGTGAGGAAAATTATTTTACTATGTGTTGTTGTTGTTGTTATGTGCTGTCGAGTCAGATCCGACTCATAGCAACCCCTCCTTGGGTTTCTGAGTCAATATCACTATGGAAGTAGATTGCCCAACCTTCCTTCCGAAGAGTGACTGGTGGGTTTGAACTGCCAGCCTTCTGGTTAGCAGGTGCCTTAGGCACTACGCTACCAGAGCTACTGTGAGGGAAATATAGATCACTATATTTAGTAAAAATTAGCATTTACTAACTTAAGTGAAAATTAGCATTAATACTCCAAATAGTTATTGTTGTCTGATATTTAATGTAAATAAATCTTTATACTTCCTATATTTTTCTGGGAAGTATATATTACTGTTTTCTTTTTATGTGTTCATTTAGACTGATGTTTCTAAGTCTATGTAGCTTCATTTTTCACCCTTAAATCAGTGTTGAATCTATTTAGTCCCTTCTTTTTTTTCATATTCTTTTTTTCTGTGTAGTACATGCTGAATTGTTTGTTCTATATGTTAACTCAGTAGTTGGGCACTCTTTCTGTTTTTGGAGAATTTTTTAGTAATTTCCCCTCCCCCTCAATGTTTTCCATCCTGTCTCTTGGAGCAAATATGTCAGGAAATAAAGGAGGATATTTTAAGCTTTTAAACACATAATAAGATTAACTTGGAGGCTTCATTGTACTTACAAATGCTTCTTTTGCTCTACAAAGTGACACAATATCGTTATTTTGAAGCTTTTTTCTATCCAGGGCATTGTGTTAAAAAGTGTTTAATGTTGTAGGATAAATTACTGTGACCTTTTTTAAGAGTATTTACTTTAATTGTAAACTTAAGAAAAAATGTTATTTTCCTTAAAGGAAACGAGATACCAATTACTTCAGCTTCGACCTGCACAGAGAGCATCATGGATTGGCTATGCTATTGCTTATCATTTATTAGAAGATTATGAAATGGCAGCAAAAATTTTGGAAGAATTTAGGAAAACACAACAGGTAATATCCAGAAGCTATTTTAATAGATTTGAATCTAAGTAAACTAGTAGAAAGAGGTGTGTACAAACACTTGTTAATTTTTTATTTTGAATCAGTTTCAAACTTAAAACTTGCAAGAAAAGTACAAAGAACACCATATGTAGAAGTTCACCAAAATAACCAATTGCCAATTGGTCACATTTCCTTTATAATTTATCTATGTAAATTTTCTTCCTGAGATGTATGAGATTAATTGCATACATCATGCTGTTTTACCCCAAGTGCTTCAGTTTCCTAAGAGTAACTTTATAGTTGTGTCAATGCTGTAAAGAGTATAATTATCAAAAGTCAGAAAATTAAACATTGGTAGACTATTATTGAATTCACAATCCATATTCAGAATTTATGAATTGTTCTAATTATATCCTGCCTAGAATTTTTTTTTTTTCCATTTTAGGATGCAGTTTTGAATCATACCTTCCATTTAATTATCATTTCTTTTCAGTCTCTTTTGATCTCAAACAGTTTTTAAGAGTTTTTTGCATCTCATGATATTGATATCTTTGAAGATTACAAAGCAGTGCTTTTACAGTATGTCCCTCAATTTGGATTTGTATGATGTTTCCTTATTATTAGATACAGTTTTACATTGTTGGCAGGCAACCACAGAAGTGATATTGGGCCTTTCTTAGTTCATCATATCTAGAGGCACATAATGTCTGTTTATGCCATGTAATCACTTTGTTAAGACAGTGTCTGCTAGGTTTCTTACCTATAAATTCTCTTTCTATTTAATAGCAATTTGAAGGGAGATAACTTTTGACTATGAATAGGCTGCTTCTGATCAAATTTTCACCACTAGTTTTAGTGTTTATTGATTATGGTTCTTGCCTTTATCAGTTATTTCTAAGGTAGTTGTAAAATGGTGATTTCCTAACTCTGTTCCTTCTAGATATATTATTTGGAAACATTTCCCTTACCCTCCACTTATTTAGTATATGCAGTGATTTATGAATTCTTACTTCATTCACCAGCTTATAACCTGATATTATCATTATTTACTTTATTGCTCCATAGAAGTTTAGAATTTTTCTTTTTAAATTTGTTTTATCAATCCAATAAGATCCTTTAACTTCTTGTATATTTTTGAGATTGTAAATAATTTTCTAATATGAAAATAAAATTCTTACATATAATATTCCTTATATCCCTATATACAGACATCCCCTGATAAAGTGGATTATGAATATAGTGAACTCCTTTTATATCAGAATCAAGTTCTTCGGGAAGCAGGCCTTTATAGAGAAGCCCTGGAACATCTTTGTACCTATGAAAAACAAATTTGTGATAAACTTGCTGTAGAAGAAACCAAAGGTAATTTATTAAGAATGCCACTTATTTTAGTATTTAATTATGACAAAGAGAAAGGCTGAAAAATCATCTAGTTGTACCTGTCAGTTTCATGTAATAGTTTTTTGAAGATAAAAATTTATTAACTCATGCACTTCAAGTAATTTGTAATGTGAGAAAATACACATTTAAAAAATGGATATTGTGCATGTGTTAGTTGCTGTCGTGTCAGTTTTGACTTGTTGATATAGGAGAAGATAATTGTAAACAATAAAAAAATTGTTGAATGAAGTGACTCAGTCCAACAGTCTACCTTTAGATGAAGTATCATAGATCTGAAGCTATAATATTTGATGAAAACGAAGGAAGCAGTTGTTTTAATTTTATAAGATGGTTAAATTTTTAAAAAATGACATGTTAATTGTTTGTAAGCAAGATTTTCTTGTCAGTAATATATATTAATCAACCTTTACTAAAATACAGTAATAGGACATTCCTAAGGTATCTTTCCTAAGATATCTTTTATAGTTTTATCTGAATGTTCATTAAAGAAAATGAATTCTGGAAGGAAAGGAAAGGAAACCAGAATGTTGAGTTTATGTATGTGAGCTTAGATAGGAGGGGTAGATCCTGAAATAAATGGATCCAGTACTGCCATTTACTAGAGAACTGATGAAATGGAGCCCATAATTGTTTTAAAAGCTGAGGAGGTGGTTGATAAAAAAATGAAAGGATACCAAATAATTGGAAAGACAAGGTGTTTGTTTTTATATGACTTGTTTTCAGTTGTGATTTGGGTGAAAGTCTACAGATAGCACATTGGTTTTCCATTCAATAATCCATATGCATGTTGTTTCGTGACATTTACTGCGGTCTACACATTGTAATAGCATTCCTCACACTTCTATTCTCTTCAGCTTCCCATTCCTTCCCACCTTCCTAGCTCTCCCTGGGAAAATGCTATCTTCTGATCTCATATGCTTGTTGTTCTAATGAATGCACACCCTCCTGATATTATTGTTCGCTTTATGGGTCTATCTTCATTTGGCTGATTGTTGAGTCATAGGACTAAGTTCAGTTCCTATTGAAGAGAGTCCAAGGGCATAGTCTTGGGAGTTCCACCAGTCTTCATCAGACCAGTAAGCCTGGTCTTTTTTATGATTTTCAGTTTTGTTTCACATTTTTCTCCCGCTCTATCTGGGACCTCTTACTGTGATCACTTTCAAAATGTTCAGCAGTGATAGCCGGGCACCATCTAGTTCTTCTGGTCTGAGATTGTGGAGGCTGGGCTTTGAGTGCTCCATTAGTCCTTTGGAGTAATTAGTTCCTTGCATCTTTGACTTTTTTTCACTCTTCTTTGCACCAGATGGGGAGAAACCAATAATTGCACCTTAGGTAGTCACTCACAAGCTATTAAGATCCCAATTATTACTCACCAAAGTAGGTTGTAGAACATAAGAAAAGTAATTTCTAAGATTTCCATCTTAAATGTTATTTTCCACTTGCTGACCCAGGAAGCTGAAGTTTGTGGGTTACAAATTCCTTTGGCTCCCCTTGAAATGGAACACTAGAAAAGTGTTGTATCTGTGTGCCTAGTGGATATCAGCCATTATTTGCCAAATAAATTACCAGCAGAGGATAAAGCAACTGGCAAGAAAACCTGGAAGTCCAGAGTTCCAGGAGCTCAGTTGTGAACTGTAGGTTCCAGACATCTTCTGTCATTACCTTTAGTAATAAAGGAAGAGTTTTCTAACTTAATGGAAAAATCACAAAACTGGCAAAAACTAATGTGGGGTTCTTCACTGGCTATAGCTATATGACTAGGGACATACATGACAATTTTCAAAGTACTCTTGTGTACATTATTAGTAAAAAAGAATGGCAAATAGGTCAAGTTAGATGAGGCTTTAGAATTGACCAATGGATTTTAGCAATTTGATAATCATTGATTAGGAGCTCTGGTAGTGTAGTGAGGCACTTGACTGCTCACCAGAAGGCCGGAGGTTCAAACCCACCAGCCACTCCTCAGAAGGAAGGTTGGGCAATCTACTTCATAGTGATACTGCCTCGGAAACCCAAGGAGGGGTCACTATGAGTCATGTCTGACTCTTTAGCACCTAACAACAACAATCATTGATTACCATAACAAAAGCATTTTATGAGCATTTGGAAGCAGGGTGGTGAAAATCCACATCATGTAGGTTTAACTGAGAGTGAGAGTAAAGAAATTGAAAATAGTAAGCATAAAGGTTCATTCAAGGCATTTTCCTGTAATGGGAAACAGAAATAGAATGGTAGATGAAGTGGATGTGAGATCAAAAGAACTTTTTTACAGGATATGTTTGTGCTGATTGTGAAATAAATGATCCAGTGGAAATAGAATATTAGACATAATAGAGGGAATGCAATCTAGTTAAAATAAGGATTGGTCTTAGATAAGAACATGAGTAGCTCATCCACAATATTAAGAGATGGTTAATAGGTGTGTAGATATAATGAGTATTTGCAGTTCTCTTATGTTTCCGTTTTTTTCATAGGAAGCAAGGGCACCAACTCATTCCAAAAAACATTCATTAAGTGCCTGCAATGTATATGATGTTGAGGACAAGGTATATAAAGAGACAGGACAGATTTGAGAGTTAAAATCAATCTTTGGGAACTCCAGAAATAAAGGCATTGTTGCTGGTGGTAGTGAGGAGAGACTATGATAGTCAGGATTGCTTGGGAGCTTCCTGGGGTGGGTCATTGGGCAAGTTAGGCAGTATGTTCCATTGTTAATTTGTAAACCACCAAGTCCTACCACACAATGATGATAGATTAAGGGAAGGAAATGAGAATGGTTGTAGTATAGAAGAGAAGTTGTAGAATTTTTGAAATGTTCTCAGTGAAATAGACTTTGGTCAGTATGGAGCAGACTCTCTGAAACGCAGCGTGCTTGACAATTTGGGTCATGCAATTCTTTATTTTGGGGGTGGCGTAGTGCTTAAGGCAGTTGACTGCTAATCAGAAGGCGGTTCAAACCCACCAGCCACTCTTCAGAAGGAAAGTTGGGGAATCTACTTCTGTAGTGATACTGCCTTGGAAACTCACGGAGGGGTCGACTATGAATTGAGTCTGACTCGACAGCAGTGTGTTTTTGGTTTTGTTAGGTATCATTTGTATATTGTAGGATGTTTAGCAGCATCCCTAACCTCTGCCATTGGATGCCATTAAGTCATCTGTTGCCTCTGTTCTCCTCCCCTCCCTAAGTTGTGACAACCAGAATTGTTTCCAGATCCTGCAAAATTGCCCCCAGTTGAGAACCACTGGCAGAGTTGAAAATATGGGGTCTTTTATCCACATTACTTGGTTTCATATCCTAACTCCAACACTCTCTGAGAGAGGCCGTACAACTTTACTAAAGTTCTCTGTTTTAAAATGAGAAATATAATAGTAACCTGTTGTGTGGAGTTGTGAGAATTGAATTAGTTAATGTATTTGAAACAGTCACTGACACTTGAATAAGCACACACTAGGTCTGTTTTTATCTGATGGGAATTAAGGATGTAAGGACTAGATAGTGCTTTGAAAACGTTTGGTGAGTGGATGCCTTTTAAGGATATGGAAAAGGATTCCTGAACCGTGTTTGAAGCCTATGAGAATTTGGAGCTCACATATTTCTAGTGAAACCACTGTCCCTTGTCCATTCATCTGATTCTCTTAAATTTCATGAGAAGGTATGGAGGAAACAAGCAATTGGTATGATCTGTGCTTTGAAATTGTTAAAGCAAACATGGGAGCCTAGGTTTTGAGATTGATTTTAATACCTAGGGCTGCTAATGTCATTTAGTGATTTAATTGATCATGGAATCCAAGAAAGGCAAGCGGAGAGTCTACGAGCTGCTGATAGGTCAGAAGAAAAGGTAATGGCATTTTTATCTGAAGTTGAAGGGTGGAATTAGTGAGAGAAGAGAGAACAGTTAAGGTTAAAGCAAAATCCCTGTCTGATAGTTGGAAGAGATGGAGACTATGTGCTCATAAATGTGGCTATAAGTATCAACTGTTGTAGCAGAATCAAATTGTAGTTAATGAAGGAATCCTAGGTTAGGATATTGGATTGGGTCATTAATTTGGATGTTGAAGTTGTCCAAATATGGCAGGAATAATTGAGGACTACGTGATGCTTAGGAACCCTAGTTAAGTTCTTGGGTGCTAAACAGAATGTCAGCAGTTCAAACTACCCAGCATCTCGTGGGGAAAAAAGACCTAGCAGTCTGTTCCTGTAAAGATCTACAGCTTAGGAAATTCTATGGAGTAGTTTCTCCTCTGTCCTATAGGGTCACTATGAGTAGGAATTGACTGGAAGGCACATAACAACAACAACAGATAATAACTTGGTGTCAGTATGCACAATCATTGTGGGAAAGTTGGACAGTTAATGAAATAAATAAGAAGATGGAATTTATAAATAATGTGAACTTCAAAAGTGGTGGGGACAGTAAAGATACGTGGCAAAGAGTAGTCTTGAAGGGAATTGGGAATGCAGAAGAATACCAAATCGATTTACTTCCCAACCTTGATTTATAATGAGATTATAAGAGACAACTTGAGGAAAAGTTAAAATTACAGTTAGAAGATTTTTTCTTTTCTCACATATTTAGTTTATTTTTTTCATCAGGAGAACTTCTGTTGCAATTATGTCGTTTGGAAGATGCTGCTGATGTTTATAGAGGATTACAAGAGAGAAATCCTGAGAACTGGGCTTATTATAAAGGCTTGGAAAATGCACTCAAGCCAGGTAATGTTGTTTAAGACTTATTTTCTAAGTTTTGGTTGCCTCTTTTGTATATGTGCATGTGTATGTGTGTATTTTTAATTTTATTATAAAATACATAACAAAGCTTGCCGTTTTAAAATGTGTAATTCTGAAATTAATTACATTCACAATGTTGTGCATTCATCACCACTATCTCCAAAACTTTTTCATCACTCCAAACAGAAACTCTGTACCCATTAAGCTATAGCTCCCCATTTTCCCTTCCACTCAACCTCTGGAAGTAGTCTACTTTCTGTCTCTATGAATTTGCCTATTCATACGATTACAGATATTTTAAAAATAAGTAGAATCATACAATATTTGCCTTTTTGTGTCTGGTTTATATCATTTAATTTAATGATTTTAAGGTTTATTCATGTTGTAGTATATATTAGAGCTTCATTTTCCTTTATAGCCGAATAATATTTTATTTTCTATATATGCCACATTTTGTTTATCCAATCTTTTGATGCAAGCTTGGGTTGTTTCCACCTTTCGGCTATTATGAATAATGCTTCTGTCAAAGCATTCGTGTACCAATATGTTTGAGACCCTGTTTTCAATTCTTTTGGTTGTATACCTAGGAGTAGAATGGCTGGATCACATAACAACTCTGTGTTTAACTTTTTGAAGGATCACCAAACTGTTTTGCATAGTGGCTGCACCATTTTACATTCCTGCCAGCAATGCATAAAGGTTCCAGTTTCTCTGCCAACACTTGTTATTTTCCGTTTTCTTGATAATAGCTGCCCTAGTGGACATAAAGTGGTGTCTTACTGTGGTTGTAAATATATATTATGTTAGCTCATTGAAAAACACAACTGGAAACATAGTGGTTAAGGATTGTTTCAAAATCTGAATACTAAAGTACATTTGCAGACTTGGCATTCGATACAGTAGACCAAACACATTCTGAAATCTCTTCTATTACAAATTCATAGGAATGGTTGGAAAAAAAAAATTAAAAAAACAACTTTAAAGAAAACAAATGCATAGTTACTTAAAAACATGAAAGGGAAATATCCACCAACAGAAATGAATGTGTCTTCCTGAAAGAAAGAAGCAACATAACTTATGTGGTAAGCTGTGGCTGTGTGGCCTACTAGGGGCTTACAAATTTAGTCAGGCACAGCCTTGTTCCTATATGGGAAGAGGAACTAATTTTTTTCTTTTTTTTTTATTGTGATTTGGGTGAAAATTTACAGAGCAAATTTACTAGAGGAGCTAAATTTGTATCACTCTCGAGAATTTTTGTTCAGAGACACTCCACCTCTCCTCCTTTCCCCCAGAATATGGTCCACTTGTCTGAACAGGCCCATTAGTCTCAAGTAATTTTTTTTGCTGTTTGAGTGGAAAGATGACAGATAATTTTTTCCCATCTTCAAATTTTCTGTTTAAGAGAGTAAATTTTAATATACATGGAGAAGTGTGTAGTTTGCTAGGAAAACATACAGTTCGTAATTTATGTACAAACATTTTTTCTTTGTATGCAGCTAATATGTTAGAAAGGCTAAAAATTTATGAGGAGGCCTGGACTAAATATCCTAGGGGACTGGTGCCAAGAAGACTGCCATTAAACTTTTTATCCGGTGAGTGAGAATAACTGTAAAGGAATGGAAATGTTATGGTTTAAAGTTTCTTTCCTTGGTTTTAAATATGTGAGTATGCATACTGGTATTAAAGTGTACATTGGTAGAGTTATCTGGGCAAGTGTAAGCCAATAGGATTTTTTTTTTCCCAAGGTGAGAAGTTTAAGGAGTGTTTGGATAAGTTCCTAAGGATGAATTTCAGCAAAGGTTGTCCACCAGTCTTCAATACTTTGAGATCATTATACAAAGATAAAGAAAAGGTAAAGCAAAAGCTCATGTTTTCTTTTGACCATCATTTCTTTGCTCAGTATTTGGAATCATTGATTCTTGATTTTCTGCACAGAATAATAAACATTTTGTGAATCTGGTATCACAAAATCTGCCTAGCTTGCCATTTCAATGCTTCTATGCCTTTTTTTCATTCCTTTCTCTTTAGCTCAATAATGTATTGCTTATTGGTTTTCTCTGTCTCTTGTTTCTGCTCTGTATTCAGTGAATCCGCATAGGTATGAAAGGTTGATAAGCTAGTGATTTCTCCAACATTTTCTTTAACCCCTGCTCATGGTGAAAGTCAGAAGTGATTTTTTTTTAAGACCAAGTTTTAGTTTAGTAATCTTTCTCCTTTTTTATTTGGTAGAAGAAAAATTTTGTCAGAAGAGTTTGTTTGCTGTCCCAGTAAGTCGACTTACTCTTTCAGCTATGTGTTCTAATAATGCAATGCTTGTTTACTATATAACTTAGATTATTTTGTGTGCAAATATAGTGGTACAACCTGTATATCAAGATACATAGGTTAGTTTTTTAAAAAAACGAGTTGCAGTGAAGAATAAAGATGCAACAAATTGAACATGCTAAACATTTTAGCCTAAAGCACAATGTGTATTTTTTTGCCAGTCTTGATGAAAGGCCCAAAATAGGGACTTTATTGATTGTTGTTTCACATTCTTTTTCTGTGTATAAATTACTGCATAAAATGTGATTGGTTGTTTCCGGTGTTGGTAGAGTGAGGACTGAGAGTCTTGTGATGCAGTCTTGGCATAATAGAATCCTACATTTTTATGATTTTCCCCTTTATTTATGATTGTCTCATTTATACCTAAATTGGCTAAATACCTATTTTATCTTTGAGTCTCTTCATGATATTCAACTTAGAGAAACAGTGTTTTCCTTTTGTTCTCATTTCTTAAATTGACATTGAATTTAAATTATGCAATTTTGATAATAAATGCAACTGATTCAAACAGGTTTAAGAAAACAAAAGTGACTCTTAGTAAGCATATAGTTCAACTTGTGGGAGCAGAAGAACATGGGCACACCAGAGTAACCTAGCTGCGACCATTCAGTCCTCGCAGTTTACTGAGGTAATCAAGAGAGCTGGTATTGATCTGTTGAGTCAGTTAAATTGAGGTTATTTAAGAGAGCTTCTGTAGTCACACAAATCCATTGTGGCTGGATTAAACAAGGAATGGAAAAAATAAAAAAATATTCACAGATCTTTCCTGAAGTTAAGAGCAATAGTGCAGTCAGAACTCAAGAGAAACCAAAACCTGAATGGCCATACATTCTCCTGGATCTCATAAAAGCACCCACTGTTCTGTGTTGCAGCTTCACTGATGTTTTCCCCTGCATTTTGAAATTAGGAGTTGATTCTTATCATCTCCTTGTGAGATTTCTCTTTGAGCATAGCATTTAATTCTGGATTCTTGAAGAGCAAATATTAACTCTGGGTGTTGTTTATGTGAATGGAGATTAAAAATGAACCAGGATATAAATCATTCATATCATTGCCTCTCTTTTTCTTGATCCTTGGTTCAGCTTGGTACTTTATTTCCCAACAGAGAAAAGAAGTTTACCAAGAAGTTCTTAGCAAATTATGTCTTAATACACTCTTATACAAATGTATGATTCATTTGATTACTTTTAAATTTTTATTCAGAGGTTAAGAGATTATAGGTGTGTGTGTGTGTGTGTGTGTGTGTGTGTGTGTCTGTTATGTATGTGGATGTAACTGGCTGCTGGAATATTTATTTAGGCCTTTAATAATGTATAACACATTTTGCACAATAGCAGCTTTTTTTAAAAAAAAAATTAAGGTGTGCTTGTGTGTTTGTACTCTAGGTGGCAATCATAGAAGAATTAGTAGTAGGTTATGAAACGTCTCTAAAAAGCTGCCGGTTGTTTAACCCCAATGGTAAGTGCTCAGGTTTTATGTTTTTAAACACCTTGAGAAAATTTTAGTACATTATAAAATTCTTAACCAGCTGGTCAGTATTATTAATTTATTTGGGTAAGCATTGAGTGTTAAAAACTTTTTTTCCTTTAAGATGAAAGATCTATTAATATGCATATTATATGAAGCTATTGATTCTAAGAGTCACATGACTTTTTTTGGGGGGAAAATTATGTAAAATTTAAAACATCTACGAAACTAGATGCAACAGTGTAACGCTCTCCCATTTACTTAGCATCTAGCTTCCATAATTTTTATTCATGGTCAAAATTACTTCCCTCATATCTTCACCTACTTCCCCCTGCTCCCATATTATTCTGAAGCAAATCCCAAACACCAATTTATTTCATCCATGAAATTTCAGTATGTCTGAAAGATAAGGACTTAACTTAAAAGAACCGTAATAACATTATACACATCTGAAAATTAATTACTTTCTTAATATCAAATATTTAGCCCTTGTTTGAGGATCTTTGGTGATAGAGTAGTTAAAACATTCAGCTGCTCACCAAAAGGGTGGCAGTTTGAACCCACCCAGTGGCTCCATGGGAAAAAAATCTGTCAATCTGCTTTCGTAAAGATTACAGCCAAGAAAACACTAAGATAGTTCTCCTCTGTCACAAGGTGTTGTTAAGACTCAGAATTGACTCAATGGTATAAAACGACAACAGTCCATGTTCTTATTTCCAGTTGTCTTAGAAATGTCAAGTTTTTTTTCCATTCTTTGTTTTTGAGGTGGTTTGTTTTAATCAGGTGACAATTATGCTTTGATATTGGTTAATATCAGTCACTTTTAATTCATAGGTTTCTTCTCCATCTCTTTTTTTTCCTGCAATTTACTTGTTTAAGAAAATATTTTTTTCCTTGATTTTTCCAGAGTCTAGGGTTTGTTGGATGCATCCCCATGGTGTTTTAATATGTTGTTTCTCTGTTCTCTGAATTTCCTCTGTAAATTGATAGTTGGATCTAGAGTTGTGCTGTCCATTACAGTAGCCATTGCCCATGTGTGATGATTAAAATTAATTCAAATTAAGTAAAATTAAAAATTCACTTCCTTAGTTGTAGCCACATTTTAATTGCTGCTCATTCGCCACAAATGGCTAGTGCCTTTGTTGGACAGGATAGAAGACATTTCCGTCATTGCAGAAACTTTTATTGGACAGAACTCATTCAATTTTATTTGTTTTACTTTTTCTACATAAGAGATGTGAGCAAGATACACAGATAGTAGTGTATTCTGTATCAGGAGGCATATAGTCTTTGTTCCTTCTCTTGCAGTTGTTAGGAATTACAAACTAGTGATATTCTATCATTCATTCTTTACTTTGAAAGAGAAACTTTCATATTGGCTCCACAGTATTTTAGCTTATATAGGAAGAGCAAGATATAAATGCTGATTTTTCTTCCCACTTCCTCCCCTTTTTTTCTTCATCAGTTTTCAAAATAATTGGTGCAGTAATGTCATTCAACAATGATGAGATACATATTTTTGAAGTATTATAAATTCATAAGTTTAAACATAGTTGGTGTTTTAAATCATTATAGCTTCAAATGGTCCCAATCCTTCACACACCATGGTAATAGTTAATAGCTTTCTTCTTGTTTGGTAGGAGATACTATAGTTCATCTTGCATATTGCCCACCACAGACTAAGAATCAGTTGTTTTCTTAAGGGGCCCTGTTTCTTACAGTGGGAAAGGCCAGCATAGATCCTTGAATGCTTACTGGTATTGGATCGTTGTTTCTAGGTCTCAGATTAATTATTAGTATTTTTAAAAGGTGTTGCCATGGTTTCATTGGTTAATCATCTTGATGTTCCTTTGATTATCAACCTTTTTCTACACATTTTACAAATGTGGAAGAGGTTCAATGACATGCCCAAGAATATGCAGTACTTTAGTTGCAGATTTGTCAGATTGGGAGCTGGTGAGTTCCACTCCTATTGTTTGTCCACTGAGCTGTTCTTTTACTAGGCTAAAAATGAGCAATCCATTGCTTTCTTTGAAAGCGAATAACTTTTGTCAGATTTCAGAAATTTGTATGAAAACACTGTTTTTTAATGTGTAAGTTGTAGTTTTAACTTACATGTTTTTTGTGTGAGTATACTAAAAATAAACCATGAACTGAAATATAGACTAAGCACCCATACTTGTTATCACATTTTTTGTTACAGTTTTTATTCTGCAAAATTACACATCTGTGCATATTCCAACATACTAAAAATCTATTAAGAATATTCGAATTCCCAAAATTCGCATTATCTACATCACAAACATATTTACTTATAGTACATTAGCTAGAAACCCAATTGAGCAGTCAGGGCTTAAAAAAAATTTTTTTTTCCTCTTACCATAAATCTTGATGAATACATTTCTAGTTCTAGTTTAGCTTGTGTCCCCTTAACCCTTTCAGGTTTCTTTTTACGTAATTAATAGTATTTTGTCTCATCTATCTGCCATATTTATTAAAGTCCATACTATATGAAAGGCTGTAAAGATACAGAACTGAAAATACACTCCTTTCCAAAGATCTCACAAACTTAGGGGCAGTTTTATAGCTAGATACATAAATGACGTGCTTTGAACTATTTTACTGAATTAATAAAGATGAGACCATTTTGAGGTGAAATTCTTGTACCATATGTGATGCCTAATCTTCTCTCCTCCTATCTCCCCTCTCCCCACTTTAAGATGATGGAAAAGAGGAGCCACCAACCACATTACTTTGGGTTCAGTACTACTTGGCACAACATTATGACAGAATTGGTCAGCCATCTATCGCTCTGGAATACATAAACACAGCTATTGAAAGTACACCTACGTTGATAGAACTGTTTCTTGTGAAAGCTAAAATCTATAAGGTAAAATTCTTTCCCCTACTTTTGAATAAGGTAATGAGACTTGTCATAAAATATTTTTATATTTTATGAATTGTAAATGTATAAAATGACATATTTGATGACTCAAAAACATAGGTAACAAGTATAGCATATTTATCTTTAGTTTAATTACTTTTTAGACTTTAGACTTATGGTTATTTGATCATTTATACACATACATATACATACATAGGAGCTCTGGTAGCATAGTGGCTAAAAGCACTTGACTGCTAACCAGAAGGCTGGCGGTTCAAACCCACCAGCCACTCCTCGGCAGGAAGGTTGAGCAATCCTACTTTCGTAGTGATACTGCCTCGGAAACCCAAGGAAGGGTCGCTATGAGTCGGGGCTGACTCGACGGCACATAACAACAACAACAACAAATACATACATACATTCATAAAGTGTGTACATATGTATATAAATATATATGTCATTATTCACATATATATTCTCATATATTCTTCACATTAACTTGGTTATTTTCTTAGTTATTGGTAATAAGAGAATCCAAAGTTAATTATATTTGCTCTGAAATGTGTGTTAACATTTGAGTATGATCACATACCAGTACATGGTAATGTTAAAATGACCTGTGAAGATTCCAAAGTGAATTTTATACATTATCTCTTTTGCTCCCTTAACTACTAGGTCCTGCTTGAGAATCTCCAATCATGTGTCCTGGCATCATCTTAAAATAAAATTGGCTTATCTCTTTTTTTTCATTTTGATTTGGGTGAAAGTTTACAGAGCAAATTAACTTTCTGTACAGTAGCTCACTTGTACTTTGTCTCATGACGTTGACTGCAATTTCCTGCAATGCAACAGTTCCCCTCCCACTTCTTCCCCATAGTTACCTCTTGCCTGTGTCCTTCCCTCCCATGCACTCCTGCCCCTGGAGCTGTCTCCCTGTGCATACACAGCCTTTTATTCTCCCATGATTGATCTCTCCAAGCAGTGTATCTGTCTGATGTAAATGTTCAGCTCATATGCCTGTCTTTTGTTTGACTGGAAGCCACAGGTGTGGGTTCAATTCCACATGTGAGGGGCAGCTAGGGGCCATAGTCTCAGGGGTTTCATCAGGTTCTATCAGACCAGCAAACGTGGTCCTTTTTTTTTTTTAATGATTGAGTTTTGTTCCACATTGTTCTCCCACTCTATCCAGGATCTGCTACATAGATCCCCTTCCAAGGTGTTCAAAGTGGTAACAGGGCACCATCTAGTTCTTCTGGTTTCATAGTCTTATAGGCTGAGGATCACATGGTGTACCTGTTGCTTGGACTAATTGTTTCTTTGGTTTTCTTCATTCTTCTTTGCTCTGGACAAGGAGAGACCCATTGTTGCATCTAGATAGCCGCTTGCAAGCTTTTAAGATCCTAGTTGCTACTTGCCAAAGTAGGATGTGGAACAATGTTTTTGTGTAGTATGTTATGCCAATTGAGCTTGATATCCCCTGAGACTGTGGTCCCACAGGTCCAACTATTCGTTTCCTCTGGGTATCTGGCTGTGGCCAAAAAGTGACTAAATCTTCTCCCTTATCAGCTCAACTATATACTTGAGAATTCTAACAGAACATACAGATACACTTGTAGAACATTGTCTTCCAACCCTATATATGTTCATGGGCATACTACCCCCTGCATATTGTTGTCATTTGCCTTCGAGTTGCACCTAACTCATAGCGACCCCTGCTTGGGTTTCCGAGGTGGTGTCACTACGGAAGTAGATTGCCCGACCTTCCTTCCCAGGAGTGGCTGGTGGGTTTGAACTGCCAGCCTTCTGGTTAGCAGTCAAATGCCTTAGGCACTATATTACTAGAACTGCCCCCACCTGCATAGACATACCTAATAGTTCAGCCTGTGCACCCATCTATTCACCTGTATATCCATGTTTGCCTTCACTGACAGTGAAATACTGTATGTGCAAAAGGGTCCATCTTTGTTGTCTGTACTTCCCATGCATCTGTCTGTGTCTTCCTCTTCCTCAGTGCCACCATGTTGGCCACTCACATGTGCCCTTCTCTTCACCCAAATCAGTACTTTTGTCTACCTATCTAACAGTATTTCCTCCCCTCCCCTCCCACATGTGGTAACCAACAAAGAAAATTTCCTTCCATATATAAACCTTTCGTTGACTTTTTGCAATAATGGACTAATACAATTTTTGTCCTTCTGAGATTGACTTATTTCACTCGGCATAATGTCTTCCAAGTTCATCCACGTTACGCAGTGTTTTGCAAATTCTATGTTATTCTTTAGGGTTGCATAGTATTCCATTGTATGTATGTACCGTAGTTTGGTTATCCATTTTTGTGTTGATGGGCACATAGGTTGTTTCATTTTTTTTTCTATTGTAAATAGTGCTGTGATGAACATGGGTGTGTATATATCTATTCTTGTCCTGGCTCTCAGTTCTTTAGTATATATACCTACTAATGGAATCACTGGGTCAAATGGTATTTCTAATTCAAACTTTTTAAGTAATTGAAAGTTGGCTTATCTCTTAATACAAACAAAATTTGTTAATCAAAGTTGTTGTGGGAGAAGTTGTAAACCATAAATTTATTTTAAAAGAAAGAAATTAAGTAATATTTTACTTAATTTGAAAAGTACACTTTTCAGAACCAGATTATGCTTATCAATTTGGCTTTACCAAATAGACTAGTTAGTGAGTTAGAAAGAGGAGCCTAGGGAGGTATCCACTAGTGGTCCTAATCAATAATATTTTTGTGCTTTCTTCCTCCAGAGTAGAACGTTTGCCATCTAGTTGCTTTTCACATCTTTAATATTAAACTATATTCTGACCAGTTTGAAGATTTTGATTTATTCTTTGATTCAACAATTATTTTTGAGTATGTAGTGGTATAGGCAATGGAGATATAACAGTAGACAAAACAGTTCAAGCAAGTCTTTACTGTCAGGTGACAAGGTTCTACATGGACTGTTATCAGAATTTATGTTGTGGTAGAATGCATGCATGTATGTGATTAGCATCTTAAGAGCCAAAATAATAATTTTCTTCCATTTGTTTTTTAATAATTTATCAGCAAATAACCTACTATCTGGTAATATCATTAGCATACTTACCAATTTGTTTTACTTTTGTACTCTGCAAGCATGCTGGGAATATTAAAGAAGCTGCAAGGTGGATGGATGAGGCTCAGGCCTTGGACACAGCAGACAGATTTATCAACTCCAAGTGTGCAAAATATATGCTAAAAGCCAATCTGATTAAAGAAGCTGAAGAAATGTGCTCAAAGTTTACAAGGGTTTGTATAGCTAGTGTTCTTACATATAAATAAAGAGAACACAAGCCAGTTCACTGAATATCTGCTGTGTGCTAGTGTTCTTTTTCTTATGTTGATCCTACACCCAACTATGTAGATCTTCTATTGTATCTTTTGCAAAAGTATATATTTTTTTCAGTGGTTAGAAATATGATTTCAATTTCTTTCCCATATTAACTGTTCCCTCTTCCAGAATGCTTTTTTAAAAAAATGCAAAATGGTTTTGGAAAAATTGGTTAAGAATTTAAGAAGGAAAAAGTAGTCAACCGATTTTGAAAGAATGTAGACCATCTTTTCTTAAAATTCTGTGGTGCAATAGTGTACTTGGTAAGAAATCATGTTGAATATATGTGATTTTCGTATAGGAAGGAACATCAGCTGTAGAGAATTTGAATGAAATGCAGTGCATGTGGTTCCAGACAGAATGTGCCCAGGCTTATAAGACAATGAGTAAATTTGGTGAAGCACTTAAGAAATGTCATGAGATTGAGAGAGTAAGTACCTTATATATATAAGTTTCTGTTTTTATTCTCTTGTTACCTTGAAAGTTTTAAGCAAATCCTATAGTTTCTTTTCTTCTCCCTCTTTTAATTCAGCGTTGTTGTTATGTTGTTATTTGCTGACGAGTGTTTTCTGACTTATGGTGACTCCATGTGTGGGGAGTAGAACTGCATTCCCTAGGTATTCAAGGGCTTTTGGAAGCAGATTGCCAGGCTTTCTGAGGTGCCCTGGTGGGTGGGTTTCAACAGCACCAACCTTTCCAGTGATTAACCATTTATACCACTTAGGGGAATTCCTATTATTGTCTGTTTTGCCTGTAAGTATTTATTTTGAATACTATGGAAATTTTGTGTCTTGGTAATGTATTTATTGTGTTTTGAGTCTTTCTTTTCAAATTGCTGCTGTGTCTTCACTACAAAGCTCATTAAGTAATTCTAGATGTCTGTTTGTTCTTCATATAGTAAGCTTTGAAGCCTTTTCACAATATTTCTATAGCATATGTAATTTTTCATGTTGTAAATCATCGTTTTCTTAGTCTTCATTTGGCTTTTTTTTAATTTTTGCATTTTGAACAGAAACATAGTTTATATAATTTCACGTTTATAATATTAACAAGTAGAGAACATCAGAGCTTAGTGTTGGAATGTGAAAGTTGCTAATGGCTTGACTTACTTGCTCATTGCTTTCTCTACCCCATATCAGCCGTACATTCCATGCATATACATACGTGTAGCTCAGAAAATTTGCCAGATACGACATATTATAATTCCTTGGGAGTGGTTCTGAATATAGAAAGCAAATGCTTAATCTATGAATCTACCACACCATTATGTGTACTAATAAGTTAAGTTTGATTTGTTGTGATAGCTTTATATAAGTATGATTAACAAAGAAATAAAATATAAGTGTATATATTTTAATTCTACTACTTTACATTCAACAAATAATTCAGTGTTTGCTCTGCTGTAACCTGTGCTAAACTCACTGCCGTTGAGTCCATTTCTACTCTTAGCAACTCTTCCTTGGGTTTCCGAGGCAGTATCACTATGGAAGTAGATTGCCCAATCTTCCTTCCAAGGAGTGGCTTGTGGGTTTGAAATGCCAGCCTTCTGGTTAGCAGTCAAATGCCTTAGGCACTACGTTAAGCTCCTAACCTCTGCTAGGTGATGGCCAATGATATTGGCTTATTTAGCATGCAAACTGTACTGAATGATGACATTTTTTATTTTGCCAACTTTTTTTGCTAAGAAGATAAGTGATTCTAAGGCTTTGATTTTTTTTTTATAATGTTCTTTTACATTGCTATCATTCAAATTACTATAATTAAATTGTTGTAATTAAAAAAAGATAATTTTGTTAGCATTTTATAGAAATCACTGATGACCAGTTTGACTTTCATACATACTGTATGAGGAAGATTACCCTTAGATCTTATGTGGACTTATTAAAACTAGAAGATGTACTTCGACAGCATCCATTTTATTTCAAGGCAGCAAGAATTGCTATAGAGATCTATTTGAAGCTTCATGACAACCCCCTTACAGATGAGAATAAAGAACATGAAGCTGATACAGGTATAATATTTAAAGATTTGTTATTATTTGCTCTGGTGTATATATGTTTTTGTTTCGGTATAATACATCTTTTTCCTAAGCTTATTATTGAGTGCCTTTTGAGAAGATGTTATATATGGTTAGAAAATAATGATGGTCATTATGAATCTCTCTTAAGCAACAAAAGAAAAGTTGCACTTTCCTTCACATTTTCAAAATAAACAAGAATTGCCTTTATACAGATTATTACAATCTAAAAGTTTGAATTTCGTGAGTTTTACACTTAATATCTGGTTTATCCACTACTGTAAGTTGCTTACTACTCTAAATAGTATGTGTTCTGCTTAAAGTTGAAACTACATTATTATTATTATTATTGGTGGTTAATTTATCTAGTTCTCTCTTTCTGTAGTAATTTGTAGTTAAGCTACTAAAAGGTGAGTCTTTTTTTTTTTTTAGTTTTTATTGTGGTTTGGGTGAAAGTTTACAGAGCAAACTCATCTTCCACATAGCAGCAGTTCATATACATTTTGTCTCATAAAGTTGACTGGAATTTCCCACAGTGTAACAGCTCTCTTCCCACTTCCTCCCCATAGCTTCGTCTTCTCTGTGTCCTTGCCTCTCATGCATCCTTGCCCCTTGAGCTGTTTCCCTGTGTATACACTGCCCTTCTATTCTCCTTTGATTGATCTCCCCAAGGAGTGTATCTACCTATTGTAAATGTTCAGCTCATATGTCTGTCTTTTATTAGGCTGGAAGCCACAGGAGTGGGTTCAATTCCAGACCTGAAGGGCAGCTAGGGGCCGTAGTCTCAGGGGTATCCACCATACTCTATCAGACCAGCAGACCTGATGATTTTGAGTTTTGTTCCATATTGTTCTGCCATTCTATCCAGGATCTCCTACAGAGATCTCCCTCTGAGGAGATCTCCCTCTGAGGAGTTGACAGTGGTAGCCAGGTACCATCTAGTTTTCTGGTCTCATGGTCATATAGGCTGAGGATCACTTGGTGTACCAGTCCCTTGGACTAATTATTTCCATGCATCTTTAGTTTTCTTCATTCTTCTTTATTCTGGACAAGAAGAGATCCATTGTTGTATCTAGATAGCCGCTTGCAAGCTTTTAAGAGCCCAGTCGCTACTCACCAAAGTAGGACGTGGAACATTGTTTTTGTATAGTATATTATGCCAGTTAAGATTGATAACCCCTACGACCATGGTCCTGAGCCCACAGGTCCAACTGTTTGCTCCCTTGGCTGTGGCCAAGAAGTCACTGCAACCTAGTCCTTTGTCAGCTCTACTATATGCTTGGACATTCTTACAGAACATACACATACACTTGTCTGCCAACCCTATACATGGTCATGGGCACACTACCTCCTGCAGAGACATACCTAATCGTTCAGCCTGTCCCCCCATCTATCTGCCCATAGATCAATGTTTGCCATCATTGACAATGCAGTAGTGTATGTGCAAAAGAGTTCATCTTTGTTGTCTGTATGGTATTTCCATAGAACTTGTGGAATTTTTTTCTGCTTCATTTACTCTTCTCTGCCCACTCTAGTGAATAGTCTAGTTACTGCCCATAGCTGATGTGCTTGTACCATAACTCCCTAATAATTAGGAATCTGATTCCCTAATGTTTAATTAAGATATGAGCACAAGCTTGTGCTTTAGTAGTTTAAATGTGTATTGGAGCAATACATTTATTAAAGCACATTCATTCCTTTGGTAAAAATATATTAGTGTTTTCTGTGTGACAACTGTACCTGAATGAATCAGACCTGAAACTGAACTTAGCACTGTATAAGGAAATAGAAACAACGTCCTAGAGTATTCTACTTTCTTCTCACCTCATATCTAATCCATAATAAGTTCTGTTGATTCTTCAGCCAAAATGTTCTGTCTTTACTATTATCCCCTTATCAAATCCATTATCATTTCCTTTTTTAACCTAGTCTAACAAACAGGTCTCCTTATTTCCACTACTGAACCTCTTCTAATTAATTCTCTATACAAATGTCACAAGTAATTGTTTAAAAAGTTAAGTAAGGTCATGTGTGTCATCTTTTTTTATTTTGATTTGGGTGAAAATTTACAGAGCAAATTCACTTCCCATACAACAGTTCACATACACTTGGTCTCATGACATTGACTACAATTTACCACAATGCAACAGCTCCCCTCCCACTTCCTCCCCATAGTTACCTCTTCCCTGTGTCCATCCCTTCATGCACTCCTGCCCCCTGAGTTGTCTCCCTGTGCATAAACAGCCCTTCTCTCTCCCATGATTGTTCTCTCCAAGGAATGTATCTACTTCAGGTTAATGTTCAACTCATATGCCTGTCTTTTGCTTGGCTGCAAGCCAAAGGTTGTGGGTTCAATTCCAGACCTGAAGGGCAGCTAGGGCTATAGGCTCAGTGGTTCCACCAGGCTCTATTAGACCAGCAAACTGGGCCCCCCACACACACTTTTTTTTCCCAAATGATTTTGAGTTTTCTTCCACATTGTTCTCCCTCTCTATCCAGGATCTCCTACATAGCTCCCCCTCTGAGTGGTTGACAGTGGTAGCTGGGCACCATCTAGTTCTTCCAGTCTCATACTCATATAGGCTGCGGATCTCATGGTGCACCAAGGCATTAGGACTAATTGTTTCCATGAATCTTTGGTGTTCTTCATTCTTTGCTCTGGATGAGGAAAGACCCATCATTGCATCTAGATGGTCACTTTCAAGCTTTTAAGATCCTAGTCGCTACTTGCCAAAGCAGGAGGTGGAACAATGTTTTGTATAGTATGTTATGCCAGTTGAGCTTGCTGTCTGTCCCCTGTGACTATGGTCCCAAGCCCATAGGTTCAACTACTTGGTCCCCCTGGGTAGCTGGCTGTGACCAAGAAGTGACTACAACCTTGTTCCTTATCAGCTCTGCTATACACCTGGGAATTCAGATCGTACAAATACACTTACCGGACCATTGTCTGGCAACCCTGTACATGGTCTTGGGTATACTCACCACTTCATGTTGTTGTTGTGTGCCATCGAGTCGGACCCAACTTATAGCAACCCCTCTTTGGGTTGCCGAGGCAGTAAGACTATAGAAGTAGATTGCCCCATCTTCCTTCCGAGGAGTGGCTGGTGGGTTTGAACCGCCAGCCTTCTGGTTAGCAGTCCAGTGCCTTAGGCACTATGTTACCAGAGCTCCTCACCACTTCATAGACATATCTAATAGTTCAGCCTGTCCACCCGTCTATCCACCTATATGCCCATGTTTGCCTTCACTGACAACACAGTACTGTATGTGCAAAAGGGTTCATCTTTGTTGTCTGTACCTCTCTATGTCTTCCTCTTCCTCAGTGCCACTCACATTTGGTACATTGCCCTTTTCTTCACCCAAATCAATATTTATCTCTACCTATCTAACAGTGTTCCCTCCCCTCCCACCCCTGCTAACCAACAAAGAAAATTTCTTTCCATATATAAACCTTTCCTTGACTTTTACAGTAATGGACTAATACAATATTTGTCCTTCTGTGATTGACTTATATCACTCAGCATAATGTCCTCCAAGTTCATCCACTTTATGCAGTGTTCTGCAGATTCTAGGTTATTCTTTAGAGTTGCATCGTATTCCATTGTGTGTATGTACCATAGTTTGGTTATCCATTCATCAGTTGATAGACACCTAGGTTTTTTCCATCTTTTGGTTCTTGTAAATAGTGCTGCAATAAACTTGGGTGTGCATATGTCTATTCTTGTCATGGTTCTCATTTCTTTAGGGTATATACCTAGTAATGGAATGGCTAAGTCAAATGGTTTATCTAATTTCAACTTTTTCAAGAATTGCCATACTGCTTTCTACAGTGGTTGTACCATTTTATAGTACCACCAGCAGTGTATGAGAGTCCCAGTCTCTTCACATCCTCGCCAGCATTTGTTATTTTTTGTCTTGTTGAACTTTGGTACTGGTGCTGGAGCAGGATGGTATCTCATTGTTGTTTTGATTTGCATCTCTCTAATAGCTACTGATCATAAGCATTTCTTCACATGTTTGTTGGCCGCCTGAATATCCTCCTTGATCTAGTCATGTCTTCTGCCCATTTTTTAATTGGATTATTTGTCTTTTTGTTATTGAGGTATTGGAGTTTTCTATAAATTCTAGAGATAAGTCCCTTGTCAGTTATGTCATTGCCAAATATTTTTTCGCATTTTTTAGGTTATCTTTTGACTCTTTTGGAGAAGTCTTCGGAAGCACATAAAAATTTAATTTTTAGAAGTTCCCAATCATCTGGTTTCTCTTCTGCTGTTTGTGCATTTTGAGTTATGCTTGATAGTCTATTTATGCCATATATTAGGGCCCCTAAATTTGCCCCCAGTTTTTCCTTGAGGAACTCTGTTAGGTTTCACATTTAAGTCTTTGATCCATCTGGAGTTCATTTTTGTGTATGGTGTGAGGTACAAATCTTGTTTCATTTTTCTGCAAATGGATCTCCAGGTTTGCCAGCACCATTTATTCAACAAGTATTCTCTTCCCCATTTAATGGATTTTGGCCCTTTGTCAAAGATCAGCTGATCATAGGTCAATGGATCTGTTTCTGGGTTCTCAATTCTATTCCATTGGTCTGTGTGTCTGTCATTATACCAATACCAGGCAGTTTTGACTACTGTGGCTATATAGTAGCTTTTGAGATCCGGCAGTGTGAGACCTCCTACTTTGTTCCTCTTCTTCAATAGTGCTTTGCTTATCCGAGGTCTCTTTCCTTTCCATATAAAGTTACTGATTAGTTTTTCCATATCCTTAAAAAATGTTGATGGGATCTGGATTGGGATTGCATTGAATGTATAGATTGCTTTGGGTAGAACTGACGTTTTCACAGTGTTCAATCTTCCTATCCACGAACATGGTATGTTCTTCCATTTAGGTAGATCTCTTACGGTTTCTTGAAGTAGTCTTTTATAGTTTCCTTTGGACAGGTCTTTTGTGTCTCTGGTAATATTTATTCCCAGGTATTTTATCTTTTTGGTAGT